TTAGATTTGCTCAGATTCAACGAAAATGGAGTGAATCGCTAATGTTCAAAAAATTTGTAGCTCGTCTTTGGACTAACTTCAGGAAACCGGTACAAAAGGAAAAGATCAAAAGAGAAATAGTTTGGCAATCAAAAATATAGTAGACGTCATCCGTCTAGTCACCTTGGTGCGATGTGTGTTACTGCACACAATTTTGAAATTCCGGATGAGGTGCTGGGCTCCCGCCTTGCCGTTCTTGCACCAAGTGCACATACGGCTAATCGACGCCAAACTGTCCATTTTTCTTATTTTAATGTTTTTTCTTCGTTTTGAGCACTTTTTCTGCACGCATGGTCTAGTTCTCAATGATTTGTTACCTTTATACTCGTGCATTGCCGTTTTAGATCGGATATAAAATTTATCACGTCTGCTTTCATATAATGGAGGCACATGGGCAATCTTGCATGTGAGGTATGTGTTTTTTTTTCGGTATTTTCGTATGTAAAAAGAATAGAGGAGTATCTCTTAGGGCCGCATGCACTAACATTTCCGCTGGAGAGGGGATTGCAGCCTCAAAAGAAAGCTTCATATCCTGAAGCTCCGGATATCTGGATTTCGCGCTGTCTATCTATCCGAAGTGCTCCCACCATCCTTCACTAAGGACATATTGAACAGAAGCGAGAAGCTGTACAACCTGCATTTTCCAGCTTTTTGTAGGATCCCCTGATGACCCTGGGGGACGAACATCTAATCTTCGAAGTCATTTTTCTTTCTCCGAAGTTAACGAATACGTTCCAAGGATGTACTGAACATCTAACACAACAGTGCTAAGCATGTTGCTGATGAGAATAAATGAATTTTTGAAAAATCGAATTTTTCGGTAAACCCCAAATTTCGACCTGTGGATCACCGAAAATTTTATGGCTCCAAAACATCATTTGTTCTTATCGGCAACATGCTTAGCACTGTTGGGTTAGACTATCTGCACAACTTTAAAAGTTTTTCGTTAACTTAGGGAAAAGAAAAATGACTTTAAAGAAAAACGCCGGGGATCATCAGGGATCATACAAAAGCTGGAAAATGCGGTTCGTACAGCTTATCGCTTTTGTTCAACATGTTTATAGTGAAGGTTAGTAGGAATACTTACGGATAGGTACACAACCTGAAATCCAGGTATCTGGAGTTTCGAAATATGAAGCTTTTTTGAGCTGCGATCCCCTCCCCGCGGCCATGTTAGTGCATGCGGCCCTTATTGTTAGACAATAAGAGTTTTAACTTCCTTCCCACTGAAATCGTTTGGTACCGAGTTCCTCTTGAAAAGCTTCTTCTAAGTCTATAGGATTGCTTTAGGCAAAAACTCGTACTGCCTAAGAGATATTCTACTCCTCCTACATACGACAATAGTGAAGATAGCAGACTAACTTCAAAATCTTGCAAGATTGCTTATCTCCTCCCTTACCTGAAAGTAAAAGTAATACATTTTTAGATATCTGATCTAAAACGGCAACGCACGAGTACAAAGGTAACAAATCATTGAAAACTAGACCGTGCGTGCAGCTAAAAACAACAAAACATCAAAATAAGAAAATTGGGGAGTTTGGCGTCGAATTTTAGCCGTTGCGCATTTGGTGCAAGTACGGCAAGGCGGGAGCCCAGCACCTCATCCGGAATTTCAAAATTTTGTGCAGTAACAGACATCGCACCTAGGTGACTAGACGGATGACGCCTACTATACCTCTGAGCACTCCCAAAAAGAAATAAGCGCGTAGATGTTGAAAAGAAACACAGTGATGCGAAGAAAGCGGAAGATGAGAGAGCTGCAATGCCAAGTATTCACGGCTAGCGCGTGCGAGAATGTGAGTAAAAGAGCAAAAATTAAGACATTTTTTATAAAAGTAAACTTTTGAGCAATAGTGTGACCTGTATCCTTCCGTGTAAAAAGTCTGAATGGTCGCATCAATATGGATTTTAGCTTCTTTTGGTTATTTGTGCAATTTTTGTTGTCGGCTTCGTTTCAAAGTGTGAAAAGGAGAGTCGTAACCTTTTCTGCGTTAATGTTTTTACGAGAAAGAGAGTGAGTTACATTATATTGGTCCTTGAGCTAAACGTTACTTCGGTCATTGCTAAAGCCGACTAATCCGCTGAGCTATTAGCCATTGATAAGCACACATTTAAAAACATCTTTTTCTCTACTTCGCAAAATTTCGCATCGCTGTGAGGCTTTCAATGTCTAATTTTCATGTTTTGTTTCTAAAGCTTTTATTTTGAATATTTTCACATTAACTGCTTCATATTGATTCTCTTTCCTCGCAGCCAAGATATGGTAATAATGTCATCCAAATCAAAGCTTTACCAGGGCTAAGCCTGGGATGTGGCACGCCACAACGAGGGGGGGGGGGGGTCGTGTCGTGCCAGGGCGGAGGGGGGGGGGGGGAGGGAGGGAGTCGTTGTTGAGATGTACTATATTAACGATGACATCTCGTTAAAAATGTCAGACAAACCCATTTTGCAGTAAACAAACACACTGAGATGCTGACTGCTGACCTACCATCGTATAGGTACAGTAAGCATAATAAAGAAGCCTTCGCACGGGCGGGGCACTTCCTTTTCCATGCTGTGCGCTCGGACCTGCTCTGTTCTCATGTTTGTGATGCAAGCAATCTTTTTAAAATTCAAAATGCACTTCAAAGCTGATCCGAATTTTGATACATTCTCCAAACTTCCAAACCCATCTGCTTTCTGTTTCCAGCGACAATTCACTCGCTCTGTCATCATTCTATGGAACCTCTTAAAGGCAGTCTCCGGGCAAAAACTCGATTTTGAGGTTTTGTGCTCACCCGAGCCTATTCGCCATGCTGACTTCGAAAATCCACACTGGAAAGCGCGAAAACGGCGAAAAAGGGCTCTAGCGCAGGAGGAAAATCAAAAGTGGGCGGGGTGTTCCCCATTGTGAATTTCGCGATCCCAGCTTCTAAAGCGATTTTCTCAATAACGTTAGCGCTCTGAGATCTCCACAGGCCGTGCAAATGCATGACTTGAAATCGGGACCGAGAGGATCGCTCCGGAAGCTTGGAGCGTGAATCCGCAGTGGGGAAAACCCCGCTCACTTCTGATTTCCCTCATGCATTAGAGCCCTTTTTTTGCCGTTTTCGCCCTTTCCAATGTGGATTTTCGCATTCGGCATAGTGATTAGGACCGGGTAAGCACAAAATCTCAAAATCGACTTTTTGCCCGGACGCTGGCTTTAAACCTTAGAAAATGGTTGCGTAAACACTCCAAAAAATTATGAACGATAATGCACTTTTTGAAGCTTTTCATCAAAACTATACCACAATCAAAGAAGCAAGCTCGACGACGTTGTCTTCATAGAAAGCAAAATTTATCGAATGCTAAAACACCGGTTGAAAAGTAAATAAAAGACTTCAAAATCAGAATTTTGCCAGCTTTCTCGTTTGTATCATAGAATGGAGCTCAGCAAGTTGTCAGCAAGAAATGAGACATACACAGACAATTGCATCGGGAAGTTCGCGGGTGCTTGCTCGGCCACCAATCATTGCCGCGAGCTGCCCGATATGAACCGATATTGGACCCGGTAAGTGACCGCGGCGCATCCTGTAAGCGCCCGATAGTTGACCCGATTATCATGCTTGTGAGGCTAGGAAGAGTGAAAAAATTTTGGCCTGTCTTTCGTGACAACGACAGTACAAATTGAGCTTGTTGGCTCTCCGTCAACATCACCTACTGTCGTCGATAACACTCAACCGATTGCTGTAGTTTGTTTCGTGAGCATATAAACTCAACTGTCACACAACCCCACCCGAGAAGCGATTACCACTGCCACAAACACTTAGGGTAGCCCTATCGCTGCGGCGTACTTCACGCGGGTTGCGCCTTAAGCTACAGCATGTAAGAAGTGCGGCCTTTGATAAGGCCCGCGGCACGCCGAGTGAGCTGATTGGGCCGCGACTCTCCCGATAAGCTCTTTCCAATTTTAACTTTGGCCGCGGCGTTCCCGGTAAAATATACATGGGCCGCGGCGTGCGCGGCTGAAATTTTAAGGGCCGCGGCACGCCATGTAGCACGCTTTGAGGCCGCGAACTTTCCGATGCAATTGTCTGAGTAGGTAAAGCAAGCGTCAAGAAACATAGAATGATATCTAATTTGCAACGATTGACTTCGAATCAACGAAGGGAAGGTACCAGAGTTGCTTCGTAGAGCAAACGGAATGTGGCGAAATGGCGCGTGATTCTCTGATTGAAGATTAATGCGGATTCTTTCAAAGGAACGATGTTTAGTTAAAGTGACCGTCTGAGATGAGATGCATGCCATCTTTCCTATTCTGCCTTCCATACGTGCGGAGCGCTTCTGATTTGAAGGCTTGCGGTCAGGGCTCGGCACGAGGTGGCTTTTGGTTGGAAAAAAAACGAAGTCCCTCCCCCCTGAAATTCAAAAAAAGTTTACGATACTCCCTTTGAAGGGCTATCACAGATGTAGGTGTAGAAAAATTTTCATAATAACATAACATACACGTAAACAAAATGATTTCATCTTAGCAAAATAAATGTAATAATGTATATGTAGTGAATGTAATAATGTATAGAAATGTATCAAAATAAATGCGAGTTAACTAGCAAAATGAAGGATGGTTGACAAAATAAATGCGAGTGAACAAATATCATGAAGGCACCATTGTGAACTCGAGGAAGAAAGAAAATGATGCTTACGTGAGGCAGGTAGTGAATTAGAAGAGATCAATCAAAGCAGTTGAGAGAAAATTCGATAGAATCCTTGAGGTGATGGATTTACAAAAAGAAACAAATGTCTCAAAGTGTGACCAGAATGGCTTTCTTTTTCGCAGAAAGAGAACGTGATCTTTTACGGGTTGTCCAAGCAGCGCGAACTGGCGTCAAGAGATATTTTTGGACGTTGGCGTCAGGAACAATCCTCTTTTTAGGGTCCACATTATAGTTTGTCCACGACAGGGGTTCGGCATTTGCAGATGTCCTTCGTACTGGGAGTCTCTAACGGCGCTTGTATGCTTTGTGTGCTTTACGAACCTGAAAAAAGACATTTAGCATGATACAGATAGTACAGGCATATGCGATTGTAACCAGATCCCTGATGACGGCAAAAGCCAATATTATGATAATGTAATAAACTTGCGGTGGCAAATTCCAGTCTAGAGCTGCAAGTTAGAATACAGGTTGATGCTGATCACTTCATGAAACGCACCTTTTTCTCGCAGCAGTTTTATACAAATACTGCGCATTCGCTGAGTGGGAATTACCAGCAGTATCACCATGACCGCGGTTGAAAACGGAATCTATAAAAGTTCGACATATCGTCAATCACTATGGAATTCAACTTCTTCGTCCCATCTAACATAGAAACAATCAAGTTCAACCACAATAACTAGAAGAACAATTGATCAAACCACACAGCATACACAACCTAGCAATGTATCTGATGTCTCCATCTTTATGATTAAGATATCATTCAGCGCTCAAAGAAGCTTAACAAGGGAACCGTGTTGAGTCGAAGTGGCCTTTCCAGATGAGACCCATTCTGCTTTGAAGAGCTTCAATCGGTGATTCCAAATCTGCTTTCCAAATCTGCTAAGCGCCTCTGAACGCCGAGTTATGCTCGTTTTTCAGGTCAAAAAAATTGAACGCAAAACTGAAGCAAATTCGCCCAAATTAGCTCAAACGGTCCAGTGTCAAGTATCAGATACATTTTATTTAATATGCTAATACTTAACATTGCTTCATCTGAGCGCTGGAAAGATTGTAACAATCGATTTTACCTAAATTCCGCATTCATTTTTCGTTCCGAAGAACGGTCATAACTCGGCGTCCAGAGACGCTTGGCAGATTTGGAAGGCAGATTTGGAAGGCAGATTTGGAATCACTTAATCGCTTAATACTCTTCAAAGCAGTATGGGTCTCATCTGGAAAGGCCACTTCGACTTGACACGGTTCCCCTGTTAGAGGCAGTGGATCGGGAAAGTCGCGACTGGGAGCTTTTCGCAACTACATGACCTTCTGGACCAGCTGAGTAATGCATAGTTCATTTGTAAAATTGTGACAACGGATTTTACTGCGAACTTTGCGCCCACATGCGCATAAAACGCCCATACACGAAGACATCACCTCAACGTTCAGCTCAGTTACCTCTAATGTCTAAATATTTATCATACGCAAGCAAAAAAAACCATTCGACTAGAGATGAAAACCAAGAAAATGTGAGTTCCGGAAGTGCGTGCGTGTCGCGCGCACTTTGAAGCAAAACAGCTGAAACTGTTACCAGTGATTGGTTTGGTAAAGAAAGAAGCAGTAGCATAGATGACAACTCAAAGCTGATGTACAACACTAAGATCAAAACAACTGAGCAAAGAAGATCAACAGAAATTGAAATACACTGAAGATGCTTGTCCATCAGATACGCTGCTTTGACCTTTACTGTTTTGATTTGCAATTTCTGATTTTAGGAATAATCATTGCTGATTTTTTACTGGAAAAATCTGAAGTATCACCAGCATCAATTCCTCATTATGAGAGTGAAAAACAAATGGAGATAAGGGGAATACAAAATACAGCTTTTGCCGTGAATAATTTTTGAAATAGTTGAACTTTGTAGAACGACCAACGCACCCCAACTTTATCAGCGATACTCCTGAAACCGTGACGACGGCGACACTCTTCGGCTGGAAAAGTATTTGTCCCATTAGCGCGACGATACTAAAAATGCACAAATGTGATCTCAAATTAGTAGCCATGAGTATAGATTTACCTGATCAAAACCATTTTTAGTGTCTTCATTAGCAGGACTAGTGCAGAGGCTCTCGGCAGGAACTGTTCCTTCTGACTCGCAAAGCGCACCTAATAAGCCAGCAGCTTCGTCACTATCAACACTGCTGTTGTTCGATGATGGCGATGTCAAAAACGTCGACGAATCCTTAAGGGAGTTTCGCCGCTGAAAAAGTGTTCTTAAGTAAAAGCAAAAAAGCGATGCACGTCTAGAGTCGAATAAACTTGATTGAAAATTCAGAAAATCCAAATTTTTGATGCAATGGGGTGTCTTCAAATCCCAGAAGGGAGTGCTCAGTTTTCGGAATCGATATCTAACATATCCTATTTAAAACTATAAAAAGGCATGTTCTCATCATGGTTGCATTTCATCAGGATGGCAATGTTTCGGACAGTTTCAAAGTTTGTTTCTATTGCTAAGGACATCACGATTGGTGTAGGAGCAGAATGTAGATTTAACCATCCATTCTCATCTTAACGCAGCAATTCCCAATAATCTAACAATGAATCGCGGTTGAATATGGCTGCAAGGAAACTGCATAGACCTTCTCGATTTGAGATTTCGCGTTTTGCAGTGGATGCATTAGCTTATAGTTGATTCGTGGACCGCATGGACTGGACCTCTACGGAGCACGCGCCGCGAGGCAAGCTGCTTGCCTTGGTACAAATTTGCCATTGTACAGGTCGTGCTCCCGCGACGATTAAGCCGCGACGCGCGTGGTCCGCAGCGTCTGAGCAGTCCGTGCGATCAACGAATCTACAATACATATGAGAGTGTTAGGAATCCAAAGTAAGAAATCTGCACAAACACTGCCCGATGCGAAAAGATGATGCGCAAGGTGGACGCGGCAAGCAACGCGAAACTCTTTTTCTCTATTGAACAGCCATACAAAGTAGTGCGCTAGAATGACCAGCAGAGATTACGCATACACAATACAAAAGAAAGATATGAAGTAAACTATCAGTTACTTGATTCAAGCATTCCATCATCATCGTGAATTAGGACAAAGGAGAGTTTTCAAAATATCATTCTCACAGATCTGTAGCTGTAGCTTTTTTCCACTGTGAATGAAAATGCTATCGTGAGGCCTCGGCCAAAATTCACGCTATTTTATCGTCGCGATTCATTCAAAGTGGAGATCACTGCATGCCGATCGTCTTGTATTTCGGTTGTGATACTTAGTCTCGATCAATCGTGGTGGAAAACTATCACAAGCGAACTGCAAAAATATCGGCATGTAATGACATTAGTACATTTGTCTTGGCGTGTTGAATCGCGACGATAAAATCGCGCGTAGTCTGCGCGAGGAGGAAACAAGTCACCGAGAAAAAAGAAAGGAAGGAAAAAAACAAGTTAAAAGGAGTCATCATCAAACAGCACCTGAAGTTTGCAAATTTTGGTGCTCCAAGGAAGTGATTTCACTTACCAAAACCTGATGACCTTTCTTCACATGGCTCAAAACTTCATCGTAGCAAACGTCGTTCATCGTTTCTTGTGCATGTCGAACACCACCAACTTCCTTGACGCGATAAACCTTTAAAATTTACTACGACTGTGAACACTTTAGATGCGAAAGTAGATGATGTAATAAACACGATATACCAGCAAAGACAGAAGAAAATCCAAAGCAAAGAACCCACTTTTGCGTGAGTGGCACAGGCCGAAATCGTCCATCGAAGTAGAACAAACCCTTGTAGGGACTGACACGTAAGAATCGAGCCACATCAACATAATTAGGTAATGTAGCTGATAGACCTACTATGCATGTACCTGTCTGTGACATTTCGACCTAGAAAAGGAAGTGTTGGACCCACATTAACACGTTGACGACAGCGTGCATTTTCTGCTGTCTGACTTGTGAGATAATTTCTTCTACAATAAGTTGAGTATTGTTAACTGAAATCAAGCAGACCGTCATCTGCAGTGTCCCCACAGTAATTTTGAGAAGCAGCTGAGAAACGCGGAAGTAATTCCTAGGAATAAAGCATAACAGAACTTCTGAAACCACAGTCATTGCATGACCCACCATGTGGATCACATTGTCGTCAATGTGTTAAAAGTTTTTGTGTCATCAGCTCAGCTTACCTGTCTCAATGTTCGAGCAACTATAGTCTCGATAACCGGACCACGATCTTTATGCATTAAATGGAACTACAATGTATATATGCTATACAAATGAGGCGATGAGGATCTCATTGGTTACTTGCCTCATCGATAATCAGTAATTTTACTAAAGATTTCAGAGAATTGTCACTAACGCCTTTTCTAGTAACCACATCCCATTTTTCTGGGGTAAGCACCAACATCTATAAATGTGGAGAGATTTTCACAAGGAAACATAGGTAGAAATCAAAACTCACCTGAGTTTCTGACAGCTCCATTTCTCTCTCATTGCTCCATCTTTTTTCCACAGCTCCACTTTCTCCATTCAACATCCTATGCTCAAGATAAGTATTGAAAATCGCGACTATGGCAATGTTCGTTTTGCCTAAAGGAACATTAAGGAAACAGTGCCATAAAGTTGCTGATGCATGCTTTTATGTCATGAAATGCTTTAAAACTTGCAGTGTTGCCATACTCACCGGCGCCAGTAGGTGCAGAAATCAACAAGTTTTGTTTGGTTTTGTATGCCTGCTCAAAAACAATATTCTGGATTACATTAAGTTTCTCAAACCCTTGTAATTCCAGTTGTTTAAGCTGAAAACAAATCCATCAGCACTATTATGTAATTATGAAGCCGCCTAACATTATTCATGTCCTTAACAAACATGTGCTGCACATCACCAATCGAGCCAGCATTCATCGGCGGAACTTCGACTTCTTCATGTGTACGAAAGCATTCCCTCGTTGAACCTTTTGGTAACGGAGAGCCCATGGCATCTAAATCGGCATCATTCAGAAAACTAACACGAACATGAAAAGGAAAAACGAAACGAAACAAAACGAAACATCGAAACGATGAATCGTGTGTGTGTATGTGTGTGTGTGTGTGTGTGTGTGTGTGTGTGTGTGTGTGTGTGTGTGTGTGTGTGTGTGTGTGTGTGTGTGTGTGTGTGTGTGTGTGTGTGTGTGTGTGTGTTGTGTGTGTGTGTGTCGCTGGCGCACTTTTTTGCGCTGGAGCAGCCTGCGAGATAGCGCTCAAAAAAATTTGAGGGCTTGTAGCTAGACGAAGAGGAGGGGGTTTGGAGCCATTCAAAGACGGATAGATGGGTAACAGGATGAAGAGTAAACTTATGTAAAAAGTTTTGAAAAATTATGTGAAGCCGGCGAAATTTGTGACTTTTTCTTTTTACAGTCACCTCAGGTGGCTGTCCAGGTGGCTGTAAAGCCATCTAACTCCTAAAAAGTTTGCCGGGAGTTTAGTTCACATAAGTTTTTCGTAATTTTTAGCACATAGTTACATACTCCCCTTGCCCATCTACACACCAATTTTGGTGTCATATGGTTACTTCTTCGCTGTAAACAAGCCCTTTGTTTGTTTGGGACCATGCTGCGGCCGGCATGCCGGCAGCGTGCCGGCTGTGGATTGAAAGACAGGAGTATGCACTTCTGCAACGATATCCTCTTTGGCTTTACCTCCAAAACGACATCCAGCTTGCCCGGCAAGCCACCTGTGCCGAGCCCTGCTTGCGGTGCGAGAATTTGCAACTGGAAGAATGAGCGAGTTCATGTGAAAGATTGCGGTGCGAAAATTTGATTGAGCAACTAAAAGAAAAACTAGGAGGAAACCTCGAGGGGGTGAGCGAGCCTATATTTGAACTAAGATCTTATTGCACGGGGTGGATGATAACTGCTACATTTAAGGTTTAGTAAAGGAAGAATACCAACATGATTTGGCAAACCAAAAAAAATGTAGATTAGTAGACGCCTTAAGATGCTAATTCCAAGTTTGCCTTCTGTTTCTGTGGAATAACTCAAAAAAATGTTATGAGCGTTTGAAAGTCAAATTTGTCAAGTAAGTAGCATGAAATCGGCGAAAAGCTCTACGAAAACACTTATGCGGATTCAGGTCTGTATTCCTTCCTTATAATTAGTACACTCGATACAAGATTAATTTCCCACTTTCAGTTGTCTTTGAGCAGCTTTTCGTTTATTTTTGCCACTTAGAACTTGACAATGGACATCATTCAAACGCTCATAGCTTCTTTTGAAGAGTCGTTTCATAGAAAAAGAAAGCAGACTCGGGATCAGCGTTTGAAGACGGTCTGTTGATAAACATCTCTTTTTGGTTTGACAACTCATTGGTATCCATTTCTTGTAAGAAGAAGTTTATGAGCGAATTTAACCAGGTGATTTTATCCATTTTTCGATTAAATTTTTGCTTTGAGACACGCTAACTCCTTCTAGAAATGATCCGCCAATACGGAAGGCAGATATGTACTTAGCGTTTTATGTTTTACTAGCTGGCTTACCCGGCTCCGCCGTATCCGGACCAAACTTGGCACACATACACTTCGGGCCCCGGCGGGTGTCACAGTCCACTTTTCGTTATCGATCGATGTCGATTTTACCGATTTTTATCGATTTTTTGCAGAGTTCACCTACAGGGCTAGGAGTTGGCACAGGGGGCAAGTGAGCATGGGGACTCCGAATACAATATTAGTTTTCAGAATTATCGATTACTTTTATTGATTTTATCGATTTTTTGTAAATTTTGACATGCGAGGCTGGGATTTTGCACAGGGAGGTAATCGAGCATGCTGATTACGAACACAATATTAGTTTTCAGGATCGTCCATTACTTTTATCGATTTTATCGATTTTTTCGCAAAGTTTGAGCTAGGGGGCTGGGAGTTGGCATAGGGGGGTAATCGAGCATGCTGATCATCCCCAAGGGGGGTGATCAGCATGCTCGATTACATCCCTGTGCCAAATTTCAGCCCCCTAGCTCAAATTTTGCGAAAAAATCGATAAAATCGATAAAAGTAATCGATAATCCTGAAAACCAATATTGTATTCGGAATCCCCATGCTCGATTACCCCCCTATGCGAACTCCCAGCCCCGTAGCTCAAACTTTGCAAAAAATCGATAAAATCGATAAAAGTAATCGATAATCCTGAAAACCAATATTGTATTCGGAATCCCCATGCTCGATTACCCCCCTATGCGAACTCCCAGCCCCGTAGCTCAAACTTTGCAAAAAATCGATAAAATCGATAAAAGTAATCGATAATCCTGAAAACCAATATTGTATTCGGAATCCCCATGCTCGATTACCCCCCTGTGCCAACTCCCAGCCCCGTGGGTGAACTCAGCAAAAAAATCGATAAAAATCGATAAAATCGATATCGATCGATACGAAAAGTAGCCTATGACACCCGCCGGGGCCCGAAGTGTATGTGTGCCAAGTTTGGTCCGGATCGGTTCAGAAATGGAATTTTCTATTCGGAACATACGTACACACATACATACAGACAGACAAACAGACATTCAGCTTTATATATAAGATATGCCCTCCAAAATGTTATAATCTCATCTTAGACGGTTGCTTCAACTAACCACCCTTTCCTTCCTAACAAAGCCTGCAATATGGTATATCATTCTAATCAACATGATAGACTGGATGTTTTTATAACGTCGCGGAAGCAAAAATTACCCTATAACTCGCGTGCCTCTTCGCTCAAGTTTCAACCTCAATATATTTGCATTTTACTGAACTCATTTTTGATTTGAGAAACCCATTTATACCCAAATTTCACTAGTATGGGACTTCTTCGATTTTTCAAGCGAGCCGCTCAGCCGCCTCGCTGTATATCAGAAAATGAACTTTATGCCGCACGATACTCTCAGGCAATATGCAGAAGTGTATATAATTCTTTGCCTGCGAAGTTCTTCGGCGTGTCTGTGCTTTTCGATTTTAGAAGAAAATTTCCCGCGTCCTATGCTCGTGAAATTAGGGTAAGCAAGAACCGATTGTGCGAGGAGCACTGCCGTCACAATGAGGAAATTTTTACGTATGTTTTTAGTACGAAAACGCACTTTTTTCTGTTGCTTCCAAGTTATACGCGCTGTCCCTTCATTTATCATTGTTTAAGCTTATGAGGAAATCTTGAGAGAAAAAGTATTTTAGTAAGTTTTTTAGTATCCGCGGTTTTGCATTGAATGTTTGTGCTTTCTTGGTGCGAATAAAAGTTGTGCTTTCTTTGAGCGAAATATCCGGGCCTTGCGCCAACGCTTGCGGTCATTTGACTCCGAAACGAAAAAATATATGAACAAGTGTTGTGGCCATGTCAAAGATATTCGAATCAAACCTGCAGTCTTCGACATTTGTGATTGCACGTTTAAAAATCCATGTTCGCGCTGTCTTTCTGATTGCTTGGTACTTTCAACATACTTTTTATTTGGTGTGAGCGAGAAAGCTGGCAAGATTATCGCTGTTAAAATCCTTTCATCCGCATAACATTGATAACATTATGATATGAAATTCATAACGCAGCTTTTTATACATTCTATATGAACTGTTTTACCCTAGACATGCGCGAAACCTGATTGTGAGAAAGAGGAAATTAAGTGAAAACGGAAAGCGTATTTGCGCACTGCTCTGGTTTTGGCTTTGTAGTTTCCGTATTAAGATACTTTTGATAAATTATTTCTATTTTCCAATTTGTATCGTAGTTTATATTTCAAAGTCACCTTATCAATAAACGTAATCTTGGAACACTGACAAATGACATTCTTGAACAAAAGCTCGAAGTCTGCGAGAAAATTCCCGAAATTACCTACTGTTGTTCAAAAATTACATTTCTTATCTTTTCCGCTCCTCGAAAACTCATGACAATTTGAGCTGAACAAATGTATACCTGTATTTACTGGAAAAATAAAATACTTTCGCAAAACTGTGGCTATGTGGGAAATCTTATTATAAACACAATAAGCTGAGCTAGAAATCTCCATTTCATAAGCGTTAGAAAAATTGAGTACTATCATCTGGTCACAACAAAGTTTTCTGATCGACTAATTTGATCCTGTGTGCTTAACCACAGAGTCCACCGGATCCACATGATCCAGCTCCAAAAATGTAACACTCGGAGCATACGAGGCCGACATTGTACATTGGATTATTGACAATGTTTCCACTAAAACGCGAAAATTTATGTGCTTGAAAAAAGGTGTTAGTGCTTACCTTGGCCGGTAACGGCATGATAGTACGTATTCATCACCACATTTAGCAATGGAGCAGCCAATCTCCCGAGTTTGAGCCCAACCCATCTTAAAAATGAGCAATCATCGAAACTTCTCAGACTACAACGCTGACACGAATTCGACGAATGTTCAAGGCTTACTCGTGTATATGACTCTATGGGAGTGCCAACTAGTGATTCGTTAAAGACTGCACTTGGACCGGGATTAGGGTAGTTTTGATAAACATCCCACCATATCCTGATCGTCTGAAAGCATGAACAATATTTACGGCAGTCCATCAACGGCTTACTTTTATGGTCATTTCTTTGAATGTAGATAAATCGCTGGTAATGGCACCGCGATAGAAATTATCTGCTGGACTCAAGCAAGCTGGTTCTTTATATCCCTCTGTAGGACATTTGGCTAGGTAATCGTGAACCTCCATTTCCAGAGCACAAGACCATACCTGCAATTTTATAATTTGCGGCGATCCAGTCGTCATAGATAAACGCAATGAAAGCTTATCAACTAACCAAACGATTCATGTTACTGGCAGATGGCAACATACTTCCACCATATCTAAGCTGTCCTCTTGCCAACTGTGCTCTAAATATGAACAAGTTTGAATTTAATAAATTGAGGCCATCAGCACCGGTAAGGACTGTAGACAATTGATTGACCGTTCCGTACAAAAGATTCTAATAATCAAATATGTACATAGCTTTTATTGTAAATGTCAGAATCAATCCGTGTTCAGAAAGGGAAAACACAAGTTCTAGGGACAAGTAAACTGCAAAGACGTGGGTATTTCTACTGCACAATTCACCCTTACCAAAAACAGTCGAAAGTAATTTAATATCGCGCCGTAGAGACCGAAAAATTGAACGGACAGGTTACAACAAAAAACATTTTTCAGAGATGATTTTAGGTAAGAAGCATCGATATGCACAAAATCTTGGCAAGAGAAAAAAACACCACTCTAGGTTATCAAGAGAATAGAAAAAATATGGCATTGTGCATAGAAAACAGAGATGACTAGAGGTCTTGATTCTTAGCTTTGATAGATTTTCGAGCATTTAGGACCAGCCAAAAATGTGCTCCGAAACTCGGCAAGCTTGGTGACGGTCTAACACCATCAAATCCGAAAGATAGCAGGATAAATAACTTTCCGATACTTCTTACATAACATAGTTGGGAGGTATAATATATACATATAGTACATATTCGGTGTCATATGATCAATTGCGCGCTGTACGCAAGCCATTTTTTTTTTGTTTTCACTTTCAAACTCGCGCGCTTGCAAGAAAGAAGATGTTGGAGCGTGTCTGTCATGTATCAACTTAATTTTACATTTTTTCATTGACGTTCATAGGCACTGTTCACCCTAAGTTAAAGGTTTTACGCCCAAATCGTGGCGCAAAATGTCGCTTTGGAAGCAACGAAATTGCTCTGGAATAACGAAGGTGCACGAGGACCCTAGACGGCACCGGCCTTTTCATTTATGCTCGCGCAATTGTGCGCGCCTATTCAATCACCGTCCCAGAAAACCAGCTTGCGGGTTCTCCGGATTGTGGGGTTTTCGCGGTTTTCTCGACCTCATATTAGGAAACAGAGACACGATAAGACCCTGAAACGACAAAAATCTAGAAATCGAGAATCTGGGTGGACGGTGTTTTTATCATATTTGTCCCTTCTGCTATTTGCCGCAAGAGAAGTCTAATCAGCTTTCAGTACATCTTTGCTGAGACTCGAATGTCTTTTGGAGAGCTTCGTCAAAAATGCTCCATATTTTGAATTTTTGTCGATTCCCAACGTTTTCTTAACTTTACTAAAAATTCAAAGACTTTGAGAGCCGATTCTCTGTTGAGAATATAGAATATTGGTTCTGGGATTGTTTGTAAAACTAATTCCAAGACTAATCTCAAATTTCCCATTTGCAGAAAATTTAGGTTATTTCATGCTGCCAAGATAAGTTTCTGTATCAGTCCCCAGACTGTAAATACTGTCAAGTGCGACATAACATGATATTACTAGATAGCGAAACAAGCTCTACAAAGTAACTACCAAAGACCCGCCCAACTCGTAATCCAAGTAAAGTTTGAGCCTAAACCGAAAGAATTTTATCATTTTCAAGATGGATTTTCGAGAAAAAAAAATTATACTGACCTCAAACTTGGTCATTACAAAGTAGATACAGCCAATACTTAAAAATGTCTCCATTGAATGTTACCCTCTCATAGAAAGCGAGAAAAAAAGATAAACCAAAAGTGTCAGCCCCTCCCACATATGTAATTGTATGCTGCAAGCCTTGGTCAGTATAACCTTGAAATTTCACCTCTGTAGAGCCCACAGGTAATAAAGTAATACCCAGTTTTAACATGAAAAATTCGAAACTGTGTGTCCACTGTACAAGGTGTGCCAAAAGATGTGAACACAGTTTTATCGTAAATAACTCTCTTGTTTTTATGTCTTTCGTCAAGCTTTAAGTACCTTTTGTAGAGCGAAGTTCAAATTAGAATTACGGTATGGAGCGAATAACCAATCACTATTCATTACTGTAGGATTATGGAAGGAACTTCGACAACCATTTTAGGACCATCAAAGGCGATATTTCGCCATAAATAGAAAGAAAACAAAAACAAGCCACAAACCCTTGTACTAGGCTAATCGAAGTCGCTAGTTCTAAACGTGGAATCACTTCACTGTAATGCTTCTTTCACAAGCTATTTAGGTATAGGGTAACAACTGTTTTTCCAATGTTCGTCAGAAATGTAATTGCATCATTTAAAAGGCTCGCAAAAAGTTGTATAGTAAAGTCAGCATACTCCAAAATCTTGCTAAATAAATGTTCAGATTTTTTGGTTTCCCATGGCTTACTTTACAGGGCACTGCATGTTGAAAGTTCATACTTAATCTCACAGTAATGAAGAGTGATCGATGATCCACTCCATACTGTAAATCCAAGTTGCCTTGCTCTACAAAATAATACCTCAAGCTCGGCAAAAACATGAAAGAAGCAAGTTATTGACGACTAAACAGTGTCTACATCTTTTTGAGACACATGTATAATGACCAGGTTAAAGGCCAGCAAGAATTTCCTAGAAGATCCGAGTTTTGGGATAGCTGAAAAACTTTGAAATTTGGCTCCAAATTTCACCGGGGTTACGGCTTAGGCAAATCTTTGATGAATACTTTGTAGAGCTTGCTTTACTCGTCAAATGGTTCTTAAAATCCGCTGCAAAACAGAAACAGGTTGATCTATTTAGAAAAGCGGTTTCTTTTTGGAACATGATAGTACACATGGCACAGCGATGATTACTATTGCCAGAGACGCTTTCTAAATTCGATACAAAACTTAAGCATCTATGCTAGATGTAATTCGAAAATAAATCTTTTCAACATTTTGATTCGACATACCTTCGTATATTGTGCATATCCATCATAAGTATTCTGAGTGCATCGGTCATATCACCATGAGCGCAAATAGTGTCCGGGTCTAAACTTACAAAAGTCTCCTGGCTGATAGCAGGGTTTGAGTGACAAGTTTACATCAAGATACCCTTTGATTCAACTGGTTTGGCGGCTAGAAGGCGGAGCTTTGTGACCTAGTTTAGGCTAGGTAATGATCAGAGAGCACGAGCGCGGGAGAGGCGCAGACTGCGTAGCAAGCGCGAGCGGCCTTAATTTGGTCACAAAGCTCCGCCTTTCAGCCGCCGAGACAGTTGAATCAAAGGTTAGTTATCTTCATCAGTACAGTAGTTGTTTGATGATATGGTTGATTCGTTGACCGCATGAACTGGACATCACTGCGGAGCATGCGCCGCGAGGTAAAACGTTTCCCCCAGTAGATCGTTATTGTACAAGTCGTGCTCTCGCGACAATTTAGCCGCGCCGCGCCTGGTTCGCAGCTTTTGAGCAGTCCGTGCAGTCAACAAATCAACGGTACATGGAAAACCAAAATTTGACATTTTGGGAAGAACAAGTCAATAATGGTTGATCGATGTTTTATGAATTAGAAAATCTTAACTTCCAAAAACTCTTACATAACTACTTCACGTACCATCAGTAGTTGGCTTAGGGAATATTGCTTCAATGCAGGCTGGAGCAGGTCTTGAAACTGTGCATAAACCGGTTGGATCGCAGAAATTAGTACAATCACAGCTACCGCTACCAACTTCGTACACGTTATCTCCCGGTTTTATGTCACTGCAACAACTTGGCAAAATACTTGTGTTTTCAGAATTAACTGTGCTATCTTAATACTTCAATTTATTCGTTTTTTTGGTTTTATGCAAATGTAGTCTAACCGACAGATTCCGTAAGCCAAAGATTTATCACGGCTGTTGCTTTCAGTATTGTTCTTATGGTTCAGATTTTTTGTTAGACTCTTTGTATTTGTTGAATTTGTTTGAATGGGCTCTGCTCTGCAATTATGCAGGTTGTCCGGAAAGTATGTATACACTGTTTGATCGTTGATATCTCTTTTCCCAAGAAGTACTTTATAGAGCTGGTTTCAATTTACAATTAGATTTACAATATGGAGCCACTACCCGGTGAACCTCATTTGCTGTAATAACACTCTAAAAACTTCAAATTGAGCCGTAAAGGGCCACAGTTCGTTTCAGAAAGAGAACCAAACAAGCTGGAAACTTTCATACTAGGCTAGCCGGAACCGCTGTCAGATATCAAAACTGCATTTTCAATGCTTCGTTCATGAGTTATGCGAGGTGTACCGAAAAAACTGTTTTTTCTTGCTCAAAAATGTGATTAGGTTATTACAAAACCCTGAAGATTCGTAAAAAGTTATGTAATGAGGTCAGCACACCTTAATACCTTTATACACAACTTTTCAAAACTTTACGGAAAATTCTTTTTAGAGGGCTTTTTTCATATTGGCGTTACAAGCTGAAAGTTCCTACCGTAATCCTATATCCTATCCTGTAGCAAAGACGACCAGTGTCTCCCCAAAAGTCTATCGCAGATTTAATGATAGCATTTGTGGAGGATCCAATCACGATTTACAGTATGGAACAAATTGTCGAGCTCTTCAGTACGAAGACTTGGATAAAAACTTCCAACGCGCAGCGCAGAGTCAGTATAAAATAGGCTTTCAAAACAACTTAGAAAAACCTGACTGTGAAGCAGAGTTTCCACGCATACTGTTTCACCGCACAGCTTCTATGTTTTTAAGCTTTCTGTAAAGTATTTGTGAAGCGTTGAAGAAGACAGTTGCTACAGTGTATCTGTGATAGCTTTTGAACAAAATATTACGGCAAGGCGTAAATACCATGACCAGCGTTTTATTAGCCTAAAGTGAAAACTTTTGCTTTGCTTGGTTTCCCTTGTGAAACAAAATGTGGCCCTTAATTTTTTGAAACCATCTAATCACCACGGTGGTTCGCCAGCTTTACGAAACTTCACTCAAAGATCGAGCAAAGGTACTGGACCAAGAAAGCTAAGCAAATAGTGTGTAGATATTCATGAGAGACCATGTCTGTCACTTTACCAAGCCGGCATCAGCACAAAGGTTGCGAAATTTGGCTTCATAAATCTATAAAGACCTAAATCGTGAGATATGAGACGGGTACAAGGAAGCCAGCGTCTTATGTGAGGCTCAAAGCCCCTTCAAAAAATCTCTGGCAGTGCCAGTTTGACCGCAAATACCACCACTTCCAGGTTACAATACAAAGGATGTAGGTCTAGCTGAACTTGGGAATAAAAAATTGATGGATTTCTAAAACTTTTCTCAATTGAAGAAAACACTGATGAAAGATGACAGATTATTTACAACTAGCTGGCATACCCGGCTCCGCCGTATGTTCCAAATAGAAAATTCCATTTCTCAACCGATCCGAACCAAACTTGGCACACATACACTTCGGGCCCCGGCGGGTGTCACAGTCCACTTCGGAATCCCCATGCTCACTTACCCCCCTGTGCCAACTCCCAGCCCCATAGCTCAAATTTTGCAAAAAATTGATAAAATCGATATCGATCGATACGAAAAGTAGCCTATGACACCCGCCGGGGCCCGAAGTGTATGTGTGCCAAGTTTGGTCCGGATCGGTTCAGAAATGGAATTTTCTATTCGGAACATACGTACACACAGACATACATACAGACAGACAGACAGACATACATACATACAAACAGACATTCAGCTTTATTTATAAGATAAATGAGAGTTGTGTAACCTACAAATTTTCAAGCACTGTTCAGCACTGCTAAAAACTCACGGCTGGTCAGTGATACAATGGAAATATTTGGTCAATATCCCGTGCCCGTCCTCGCAGCTTTTGTAAGAGCAACCGATCTTCGTAGCCGTGGAGCGCATTAACTATAATAGCGTAGTTGGGAGTGCATGTCAAATGGCTTATTCGATACGTTAGCATAGCCTTTCAAATCGGTCTCATCCGTTAAACCCGAATATGCTACTGCTTCGCTTGACACTGACGTGAAATTACGATAGTCAATTGTGGAGACCATTTGACGAAGTATGCTCGACAAGCCAATGTACATGTAGCCTTCATACAAGTACTCGCTAGAAAGATAACGAGACTTAAGTTGCAAAAGCATCTTCTGCATAATGTTTCACAACTAGTTCTTGTAACAATCATTTGATATCTAGTTTGCATTCAGTAAAGGTCTGTTAGTCACAAATCAGAGCATATATATATATGATTTTAAGATGATTCCAAAACTTACGCCCAAAAAGCATAGCCATGACCAGTATTTGGATCATCCATCTCCCATATTTCACACCTGCTAACCATGCTATCTAAGGCATCTGAGGCTTTTCTTTCCAAATCGCAGCTCCAGGTCTGTAAATGTCGACTACAGCACGTCGGCCTTGATTACGTTCACTAAAAGTCGTTTTTGCAAGAAAAAGGATTTATACTGAGTCAAAACCGCTCCTCTTTAAAAAGTAAAATTTTCCGGAAACTTTCGCGATTACAGTGAAATCATTTTGAAAACAAGAAGAGCCAAATGAATTTCATTCTTTTCCGGAAAGAAATCATCATTTCGAGAGGTATAATTAACACGCTGCTAGTCGATAAAGTTGAATATTTCGAAAAAAGTGATGTTTCATATCAGAAAATGACTAGAATCATATGTTGGTCCACATGTTAGAAATTGACGGAACATTGAAGGAGATTATAACTAGGTAGAAAATAAAGTCTATCAGAAAGCAGTCTGATTCACATGTGAAGAGATTTGCTTACTGAAGCAAATCAAATTTTTTCTTAGAACAAATGAAATCCTATTACAAGCTATCATAACATAATTAGCATTATAATATCATTATAATCCCTGATGAGTACTATGGAATACTGTGCTCACTTTCAGATTCTGTTTGGACTACTTGTAAGTTACAAGTTACGTAGGGTCCCAAGTTGTAGCTCACTTTGAGATTTAAGAGGAATCTTCAGCGTTCAAAGGAAGCATCCGGGCAAAAATGAAACTGTAACTTACTAGGACTCCCGGCCTGGTGGAGCTCTTGCCCAAGTGGCATTGCACCATTTTGCTTCTGAAGCGAGAAAACCGCTTCAGAAGTGGCGAGTGGTGATTACCAGCAATCAGAAATTGCTGAGGTATGCTAGTTTGAGTCCAAACTTCGTTTGCAGATCAGATTTGACAAAATCCTGTTTCTTTCCTTAGAAAATTTTAAGGTTTCCCAAAATCTTGAATAGCACTTCTCTATACCCCAAAATCATTAACCACGTGATACTACTATTACTTACATAATTTGGGAAATCGCTTCGCTGGCAAAAGGACAGAAAATAGACAAATCAAGATTGGTTCAAAGAATTAAATCGAGCCTTTAATCTCTAGAAATGTGAGTGGTTTATGAAACTCGCTAACGCGCAGATAAAGCGAGTGTCAACCATCTGCTAAAGAGGGAAATTACTCCGTGTCCTCGGATGAGGAGTATACATAAGTACCCCAACATTCACTGCGATATCTTAGTCTAACAAAACCCTTTGGGTTACTGCTGGTGTGACGGCCAGAGATTGCTAGATTCAGGGACTCTTTGAAACAAAGTCCTTATTTTGCTAAATTTTTTGTAATACCCTCATTACTCCTTATCTGTTTTTTACAGCTCGACTGTCGCTCAATTGTGGTAGATTGAAAACACCTTTTTTACTATTTCTTTGACAGACTCAAAAGAACTTGACACCTCCTGCAAGCATGCACCATTACAGGAACGGTGTATTTGGGTCGCGATATTCAGGAGCTTGTATGAAAAGGCATCAGTTTTCAACCGCGCGAGATTTTTTGCGGCGTCTGCGTCGATCATTGATCGCAGGTAAACGGTACAGGCGACATAAGCATCCCTAAATGTTTATAATTAGTGGCTTTCCTATAGGAATTATCCGACACAATGGCTCCAAAAAGGCACTTTGAATAGTACAGAAAAGGCGGAAGTGACTACATACTTACGCAGACTTAGACCTCGTCCTGTGGATGCAGAGCCGTTTGCGGGCATGTAATCATATCGCTGCTGTAGGGTTTTTTTCGAACGTTTAAACGGGCATGCGACATTTTTTTATTTCAAGCATTCAGAACTTCTCGAAGTTTGGCTTCATATTCGCGGTAGCTGTTGTGAACTATTAAGCATTTTTTTTTGTAGAGCCTGCTTTGCCTATAGAAGTCACCCTGAAGCTCTAACGAAAATGCGTCTGATTAAGGTAAAAGTCAAAGTGTAACAAGATTCATGTGACAACCTTATTAGGCTGATTCATAATTAATGCACGTTTTTGTCACCTCTTTTTCCAAGCGCTGGTTTTTCAAGGAAACTGAATCTTTCCCAAAAATTTCAATGCTATATGAGAGGGCGTTTCTTCTAGTTTCTTGTGTATCCTTTCTTTTTCTTGACATTCTGTATGATACCGGATTCCACGCTTCCAAATATGAGAGACTAAAATTTTAAAATTTTTCCTTTCATTCTTTTTGCTCTAATTCCATGAGAACAAAGATGTAAATTTCAAAAAATATGCCTAACAATCGCGATACTTTCTGCTTTAGAAATCTCTGTAAAGCAGAATTTCGCAGAAGTTCTGAGATGAGAGATTTGATTACAAACTTGACCGGTCATTGTAGCCTTTCGAAGTCGTATGAAACTTTGAAACAAGAATCAATAACTGCGATTTTGCTTTGTACACGAAGAATAGACATAGCACATCGAGTGATAGAAAAACGGTGAAACTTTACAGCTTTTCAATGGCAAAAATTTTGAAAATTCTCAAAAAAGACAATTTTTCGCTCTTTTGAAAAAGCTAGAAAAAATGATCACTTTCGAACTTTTTGCAGTATCTCGTCGTAGAAAAATACCGTGAAATCCGGGTTTTTTGCCACTGCTCTCTTGACCATTGGCTGCGCAATTAACAAAGTTTGCGCTTTCCTCCTACCTTTAAGAGTAAGTTATGTTTTCTCAAAATAGAGGTTTTGAAAAAAAATTCTTGGCATTTTTTGGATTGTAAAACTTTCTCGTCACATTTATCTATGAACGAAAGTATGTGTTGTAAAGCCAAAGATTTGCCCTTTGCAAAAGTTCTTATTGCTCTTTGAAAGATGATGTGGGAAAAGAATTACGGCGCTTTGAAGATGAATTTCGAAAAACGTGCATTTCAAGCATCAGCCTGCACCGCCATACTTTCACATGTATGAACTCACCAACTTGTTCATATTTTTTGCTGGTGGTAGGTATTCCAATCCCCAGTTAGATGCCATTGCTCCTAGCCCTCCATTTAGTTGCATTCCATCAGCGAGGGCGAAGCGCTTGTGGTTTATGATAGGAAGGATTTGGCAGTTAACTTCGTCTTCTGTCATAGAGCCGTTCTTACAGTATGTGGCACCTACAACAACAGCTTTATTGCGAACTTTTGAAAATGCGTTATTTCAACATGCACTCGAAATGTAGTTTTTTGAGTACGAGTTTGATTGACGGTTTATGATGGGAATCATATAATTGGTCATATCTTTTTCAGATATTTAAATCGTAGTGCTTTCCAAGGTTTGCGCGGGAAGTATGCTGTACGAAATGCTGAAACAGACGTACCGCCACCAGATTGGAGATAACGAGACGTGACATGAATGGTTTCATGTTCTTCAACCTCCTCTGGAGCAAACTGCGAGGGTGGTCGTGTCGTGATAATGTCCGTTGTCGGATCTTCTGAAAAGCGACTTTGAATACTTCCGTAAAAGTGATCGCAACTCCTTGATGGTAATAACTCACCCTCGCATAGCGCTGCAGGTAAAAGAACCTGTAACATGTCATGATCAGAGTTACTGATTTACTGATACCTTAGGAAATGAAGATTTACCGCTGCTGTTAGAAGAAAAATTTTCTCCATGTGTGATGCAATTAATGGCTCCGCCCCTTCTTTATACAAGTCCCATCGCGCAAAAATTAGGGGCGGGAAACAGCTTTTAACATCAAACAATGATTTTGACGATAATCTTTTTTTTGGAATTTATTGACATCTTCTTCGTCATATTCTGACGGTAGGGCTCAGGGCTCATCAGAGGTGGCGCTTTCACACGCTAGATATCGTTTTTTAAGAGCAAAGAAAAGGGAACTCGTAAAGTTTCCAGGGGTGGTTTCCTGAAATCTGGTACGATATTAGCAAGCATAAAGCTAACCCTTAGTAAGCCTTTATTTCAACTCCGACGTCGTTTCACCAATAACAGATAGATTACTCGTTACAAACGCTATAAGTGCTCAGACCCGTGTGCCCGCGATTTTGACGTGTTACGACACAATCCTTATGCTTAAAAAATAGATAATCAATCCGTTTACAACCGATAATCAATAATGACCACCAACTTTTGAGTCCACTTTCGAGGCGACGATTAAAATAGAAGCACGAAAAATTATGGAAAGTTATGCAAATGAAAGGAGCTGCAAGTGTTTTTCTAAATTAACTTGCTCCCCAGCAACCCTGAGCACCCTGGGTTGCGAGGAACCAAACAAGGTCATAATTTTTTTCCCTCCTCGAATAATTTTTGAAATTTTTTCTAAATATAAATCTATTTTCACTTCGAATCCTATCTATGAGTACTTAAATCAATTCAAATTTCGTCTCTTCTGCTTCGTTACGGCCCTTGAATGATATAAAAATCGCCTTTTTCTAAGGTGTTGCTGTTTTATTTCAGACTTTCCTTATCTTTTCTCAACTTCCATTCACTCATCGTTTGCTGAGGTTATTAGCCGTACTGCTACAAATACCGCAAAAGGTATTTCGTAATCTTCTGCAATGTCAGTGGGGAATTCGTATTCAAAGTCCTCAAATGCCACCTCCTGCTGAGTCCTGGTGGGGCTCGAGCACAACGCAGATTAAGCCTGTGTGCGCCTGTTTTTCCCTAGAAAAAAAAACAAAAACAAACAAAAATGTTGCAAATCCTTTATATCAAGACTGTTCTTCTCACGCGCAAATGATGAACTGATTAGAATTTCGTATCGCAATAAGGATTATATCTTAGGATAAGAAGTTGTTGGAGAGAGTAAAATCACAATAAAACCGACATTATTTGCGTAGCCGTATCAAGAATGCCTAATTTTGACAGGTACTCATAAATGCTGAGAAAATACTTTTGTTGTGCATCTGGGAAGATTACATTTCCAGCGTTTGCACTAAAATGACGACCGAATCCTTTGCTTCTGGAGAAAGCTTTTGAAAAATCAATGAAGCTTCTCCGATTTCGTTGATGCACTTATTGCCATAGGAAAACATCTTTTTGAACTCTTTTTGTCCACTTTCAGCGAAAGAGACACAGAATTACAAAAGGATTTTAATTTTAGACATTTTTTTGCGATTACAAAGGTGTGTCTGAACAAAAAGTACACATAACATATTAAAATTTGCTTGTGTGCTAAAGTTGCCAATTTGCCAATATTTGATCACATTGGAGTTTAGAATCAGTATCGTGGACAATACATAGAGCCTTTATCATTACTTTTGAGTAAAGCTCAATGTCTTCTGCGTGCGTGTCTTTCTCTGCATGTGATATGTTTATCCAAACCAGACTTATTCCCCTACTCTTTATTCAGGCACCCTTATTTATCCATTTATAACACACAAAAGTGTACAAAAATAGGACAAAAAGAAAAAAACACAAAACACAAAGCACTTGGGCCTAGGCCACATTGTCCCTTGCTGGATGATCAGGTCGCACTCCATCTCTAAGGAGCGAGTGGGCCTCCACCGAGATCCTTTTCCCCTACCCGAACGCATGGGGATGTAGCAAATTATTAAGGCTTAGCTCAATTTAACCCAGGGCGGACGAATCCGTCAGAATTTACACACCAGCTGAGGTGGGTCTAATACTATTATACTTTTCATATCGATCAACATCGATCTATAAATTATTCAGCAAACTTCATAATATGAGCTGAGACTTGGCCTCTGATAAATAAGCATGCTGATTGTAAAAATACTCGGATATCTGCAAATTCCGTCGGTTTTTTAAGCTGAGGGGATGGAAATTGATATAAAGAGTGACTGAGCACTTTATTACGAAAGTTACATCCATGAGAATGATTAAATATATTAACTTCATTGATTTTGCAAATTTTTGAGCTGAAGGAATTTTAAGGAAATCTATAGTGGTGAGCTGAACTTAGAACGGTAATACAGATGGACTGAACTTTCCACTGACTAGCTTTAACGAATTATGTACTAAGCTGCCGCATGAGTTTTGTCCGATTTTTTTGCCTTATGTATGAAGCAGCTTTTCTGAAAGAGTTTCACCTCTAATGCGACGTTGTTTACTTTGTTAGAAAAACACAGTCAAAGTTCGACAAATTCCCCCTAACGAGATTGCAGGCCTAAGATCTCCAGGTGGCCGAGATACGTTCTCACCTGAAAAAAATATATTCTTGCAAGGAAATCTCCACAATGCGCCTTTCAAGTCAAGTTCTCATTGATTGCAGTATAGGAGAGTGACCGGCTAGTAACGCACAAGCTCAACTTTATGAAGACGACGTCTTGCTTGTAGACTTGGTTGTCAAACATTTGTATGGTTCTACAAGCACTAACTTTCTGCGAATAAAGACAATCAGTGAGTCCAAGGTTGGAGGTGCAAGGTAAAGCAAGAGCTAGCAGGACCTCCGCCAGTTCCTTTTCACCGCTCGCGTCGAGTGTAAAATTTTTATAATTCGTAAAAAGGCATGCACACGTGTGCAGGTGTGCTGAAGGAGGTCAAAAAGCCTTCTTTTTTGTTTGATCAAAGAAATTTCTTAGCAGAGAGAACCCTGTGGGCTCTTTTATGCCGCAGAATATTCTACGAAAATTCCTTTTATCTAATTATTGTGAATTAATATGCCTATATTTCTCATAAGGAAGCACTGCGATGTCAAAAAAGACAGATCTAAAGAAGAACGTTGTGAAGTATCTAAGTCCTTGCTTCGTTCAATAGGGTTTTTCCCAATTCGTAATATCTTTCTGATAGCCAAAGAAGAGTTCAACATACGAAAGCTAGAATCATGGAAAAAAGTTGACTTTGAAAAAAGTTACGACACTTTGCATTCAAAAATTCAAATCGGACAGAACCTGTGTTGCAGCCTCATAAATCGAGGTAGCCCATCATTTGTGATGAACTTACAAACACTTCTGGATTTTTAAACATTACTATTCATGAACACTATCCTCTAAAATTCGGCTTGAAGAAGTTTGGATACGAACACTATGCAAAATAAAAGTTCGACTACGCAATCAAGTCATTAGCAGCAAACTCACTTGACAGATTTTTATGTATTGTTCAACATACAGCGAAGCGTTTTGTACCCTGTAATGATAGTTGAGATTCTCCACGATCAAATTATTCGTATTTTCTATAAAGCACTTTTATCCATTTAGACACAAAGGCATACAAGCTAGACCTTATCGCTTTTCTGTCCTGGGATTTAGGTAATAAATAATAATAATACTGCTGGATTGACACCATTTAAAATGAATGTAAATTTCTGATTATGATACAGGTATATATGATGTGGGCAAGGAATGCTTTAGGGTCTTTATGGGAGTCAAAGTGAGGATAAGAGCATAAGACTTCCGAAAACAGACTTTCGGTTTGTAAAATATCCCGTTTATTCTTGCAAATTTTTCTATTGTCGGTCCCTACACATTTGAAAGTGTTCCCGACCATATTTGACCAACGCAATCCAACAATCTTGGGTACGGCTCACAATAAATGCGGAAGCCATGATGACGTCTTCAAAAGATTTCTTTGGTGTGCTTCCTGAAATTTTTGCGGGCTCACATTTCCGAAGTTCAGATAACCGATACTTTTTTTATGAGGCTACAATAAATTTCAAAAAATTTTCGAAAACTATGCTAAAATATTTACAAGTATAAACAAGTCGCTTGGACATTTTTATAACTCATAAAATTAACTTCAAAAATTTTGCGACCTATTCTCGAGGGGGGGGGGGACCTTCTCCCGCCACCTCAACCTCGGTACACCACTGATGTGGACCCACAGTGTACGCTCTGAGCATTCACATGGACATTTTCAAAAAAGGCTTCGCGTCCCGACTTCAATGTGATTGAAGCGGAATCCTAAAAATTTCAACTACCTGAACAGACCGTTGTATAACCTGCTTGTTGAAGAAAAAATTTTTGTCCTTCTCCCGCCACCTCAACCTCGGTACGCCACTGATGTGGACCCACAGTGTACGCTCTGAGCATTCACATGGACATTTTCAAAAAAGGCTTCGCGTCCCGACTTCAATGTGATTGAAGCGGAATCCTAAAAATTTCAACTACCTGAACAGACCATTGTATAACCTGCTTGTTGAAGAAAAAATTTTTGTCCTTCTCCCGCCACCTCAACCTCGGTACGCCACTGATGTGGACCCACAGTGTACGCTCTGAGCATTCACATGGACATTTTCAAAAAAGGCTTCGCGTCCCGACTTCAATGTGATTGAAGCGGAATCCTAAAAATTTCAACTACCTGAACAGACCGTTGTATAACCTGCTTGTTGAAGAAAAAATTTTTGTAATCCACTGCGTATACAAAACGTCCACTCACACGCAAATCTCCCATTTATAAGGGTTTTTTGGTCACGTCATGCATAAGATGGTATAAGGGAAATCCTGCGATGCGCTAGTCTAATCTTGCTGTTCAAATTTTCAACGTCTTACATTTTTGCTCCTATACTGAGATTAGAGTGTGAACCCTAATTATTCAAGTATGAAAAATTAACGTTTGCCTTTGAACCAAAATTAGACGTATACAGTCTTTCTCATTCTTTCTCCCACACTCACTTTAAGTTGTTTTGGCACATTTTCTCTTCATTTCTGAAACCTAAGTGATTGCTAGCATTTGACACATTTGGATTCGGAATTGT